AGGAGGGCATGGTGGCGCATTGGCAGACTTCGGATAAGGAGCTCACCTATCGCCCAATGGTCTCGATTGGGAAAGGCAGGGCGGTGATGGCTGCACGCCACCATACGCTTTACACGGACCTCTGTACATCCTCAGATGTGGTCGTATATACAGACAGATCTAAGTGCTCTGATAGCACTGGTGTAACTTGGGTGGTATTTGAGAGGGGGGTCTTAACCGTTGTTGATGGGTGCTCGGTTCCTCCATCCTGGAGCATTGTGGAATACAAGTTGTTTGCTGTTGTGTGTGCCCTACGACATGCTCAAAATATAGCCAAGAGGCACCCGGTCCATGTGTTCTTGGACTGTGTGCCGGCCCTCATCATAGTTGACAACATGTTTTCAGAAAGAGACTGTGCTGAGTTGTGGGAGGTAATAGTTCCCCTGTTAAATGAATTTTCTCACGTCAGTTTTGGTTGGGTTCCCAGGTATGTGGGTATTGATGGCAACAGGATGGTCTACCTGAAGGCTAAGGCCTATGTTAAATACCCCTTGGGCCCCCTACTTTGGAAAGGGGTTAGCTTTAGGGTTGGTCATGCGGCTCTGGCTAGAGAACTGCATAAGGAAGAGTGGAGGACCTGGCATGCTAGAGAAGGGCACGAATATTATGCTCAGGAACCGAAGACACCCCGACACCTCCGGGGCCTGACATGAATAGATTCCTACATTTCATTGAGGATCTGTAGTGGAACTGGCATGGTGGCCATGACAGCTGTGAAGGAAAGGAAGGCAGACACCAATGGACTGAGTGCTCCTGCTATGCTAGAGGGCGCCCTGCTGATAAAGACTTGTATAAGGATTTGGCAGTTCAGAGGTAAAAGTGCTAGTAGATGGGTCATCAGTGGTTGGACCTGGGAATCTCTCGTCATGTTAGGATTCTAAATAGGTAGTTGGTTGTGGCAGGTAACCCCTTTGATGGTACATTAATGGTGGAAAGAGATGGGGGAACAATATTGATAGGAGATCCTACGACCTGCACCCAGTGTGAGAAGAAACACGATGGTAGTGGCTGTGTCTTACCAGGTGAGGTGACACTGCCGAAGAAGTGGTTCTTTCTACCTGACCAATGGTGGTGCGAGTGTTCCTGTTGTAGTACTGCCATTTCTACTGCAGCCACCAAGAAACGCGCCACATTTACGGAACACTTTGAGAAACGCTCCCAGTATTTGCAGATATGTCAAGACCGATTTGGCCATTCTCAGCATTTGCAATGGGACGAGCTGAACTTGGAGATATGGACATTGGTGGTCTTGAGGTGAGCCAAGGTGAACAAATTGCTGAAGGAACCCTGCTGCCCCTTTTGTGGTTTGGAATTGACGAAAGGGTATTTGGACCTTGGATTATATTATAAGAGGACAGAGGGATGTTGAGACAGACTGTATGTTTCCTTTGTTGAGTATGTGGATCAAATTGTGTTGGGAGCGGATAGGGGTGAGGGTATGAGACGGTGGCTAGGTAGCGAGGTGGGAAGACGCATTAATCCAGGGTAATGCTAGTCGCTGCGAGCGCCCATGAGCCCGCTTAGGTAGTGATTTTTGGATTTATGGTTGGGAGGAGTAGCTGCGAGGCAGAATGGTCCGCGGTAGTGTATTTTAGATCGTTTGATTTATGGAGTGTAGGGAAGATTAGCCATATACCAATATTGGCGGTACTAGTATAAATAAAATTAGATTGAATTCTAAGTACTTTTCCTACTTATTACTTTAATCAATATCAAACACCTTTACAATCTTTATCATTATCACAACCTTTATTGTTACACCGAGGAAAGCTCTTCATGAAACAAGAGTTAGAAAAAGCTTACAATAGGTGTTCCTAATAGAAGACAAAGGTCTTGTACTATTGGTAATATAGGCAAAGGCCTAGTGCTATCGTACGACTAAGGAAAGAAACAGAAGAAGGAGAGATATATCGTTGCCTGTCACCAAGAACTAACTATCTGAGGAGGGATCGTTATAATAGTATGCATTTCAGATAGTTGTCAGATTAGTTAAAATTGGAAATATAGGATTTCTTTTGCTTGATGGACCTGGTGGTACCAGAAAGATACTTTTAGAGAATATTATTCTGCTAAAGATTTGAAGTCAATATTAAATTATCTTAGCTGTTACAATGTCATTCAGTCAAATTACAGCACTACTACTTTAAGCTGAATGTACAGGCCATTCTACTTTTCAAATACTGTTAGTTTTAAATAATTAATCAATCTGCTTTAATTAATTATTGCTCCTCTTAAGCTGAGTTTTTTTTTCCACACTTTTCTTATCATTTAAGATGAAGTAACTATATAATACTAAAACACATACAATACAATTTCTAGAATGCTGTCAGATTTTCATCAAGGCTGATAACAATTTGAAGGTATTATAATGCTGTTTGCAGCAGATCTTTATCAATGTCTCCCCACCATTCCTGATAGTTCTTGCTCTCAAATTGTTCAATCTATCTTCTATTGCTATCTCTATTAACCTCACATTCAGATTCTCTAATTTCAGGGAAATGGTTACCTTATATGCTCTACTATGATACCTAAAGCCTAGTTAAGAAAAAGGAGCATATCATATACATTCTCTATATAGGTACTGAAATTGCAACTTTACCAGTTCTTGATTATATTGCACTTCTGCCATCATATTGCATTCAAATAATTGTCTACACGGTTTAATAGAGAAAATATATTCTACAGAATAGTTTTCCTCTGTTGCAAATACTCTAATTAAGGTTTTAGCTAAAAGATATTTTCTTACAGCCAGAAATATTGATTATATCAATCAGGAACTGCTTTTATATCATACTCGGCACTCAGCAATTAAGACCTCTCTTAGTACTAACTCTGTTGCTGATGATAAACAAAAGATATATTCTTCTGAGTATATGAATACCTTACAGCTTGCTGGATTTCTACTGCATAAGTTGTATTTAAAGATTAGTGCATTTCTTATGCTCTTAAGAAATCTTAATTCATAACTTAGTCTATATAATGAAACAAGACTTATTATTACAGGACTTTTACAGCATCTCATTTAAGGTAAATTATATTTTATAATTGTTTATTCTTTAATTAGTTTATATTTTATTAGAATATACTGATACTAATATAATTTATAATTGATATTATCTAGGAATTATAATGATAGGCTTAATGGTTGGAAATAAGTTCCTAATTCCTTGAATTAGAATTTCTTTATAAGCATTACAAGATATCTCCATTAACTTCATTTGACTTCAGTTTCCAATTTGATTAGTACAAGTAATGACTATGAATAAGGCACACAGGTAGTCATTAGGACATGTTGGAATCAATTTATATAAGAAGGTATTTATGCATGAGTAATTGTATGTTGCATTATCATAAGTAATATGTTGTAAAAGGGTAAAAGTATTAGTACCTGATTTGGTATATAGAGGAGAAAAGCTATTTAAGAATATTGTTTATCCAGAGGTTTTTTATATTTAGATTCCCCTATTATAATTCCTAAGTTCCACTTTCTCTCTACTCTTTTTTCTTTTTTCTTTTCTATATTTGGTTTGCTTTTGTTCTTTCTATCTTAGTTTTCTTTATAGAATTTTCTCTTAGAATTTTTATTTTTCCTACAAAATCTATATTTTCCAGATCTCTTTATATGACTACTACTATCTAATTTCTACATAAATAACAAAAATATTTGCTTAGTCCATGCTATTTTCCTTTAGTTTAATTTATTCTAAGTTTTGTTTCTAAGTTTTATTTTAAAAATTGGTTTGGTTTTAAATATATGTCTGCCCTTTATGAGTAAATCACTATTTATCAATTATCATATCATACTTCCTTAAGACTACATGAGCTTTCAGCCCTCTGTGGTATCCACAGGGGTGACTACTCGTGATTAAACATGCCCCAACGATTCCCCTGCTCACACCAAAAGTTTGACCTACTCTAAACCCTAATATCTCCATGAAAACCCGGGGTATCCCTACGTTCTCCACCTTGATATGTAGAGGATCATCCACTCTACAATATCATCAGACAATAATAGAGCTTTAATTCTCACAGGAATGGTGGTTGAAAATCCTTCGGGGGGTCGCAGTTGAGCCATATTTCTTCGCAAAGAACTCCGGCTACAGATGTCCCTTACCGTGCGGTGCCGTACGGTACCGGCACCAGAGCACCGTACTTGTATTGTACAGTATCTCATCTGCCTGCTGCCATCCACTTGAATAGCAAGCCACTTAACTTCAAGATCTCAGCATCACAAAGCTCGTATCGACCCACACCCAATCTCCCCACAAAGTCGGCAAGTCGCCTGTCCCCCCTGTTCGACCACAAAGTAACAGCTCCATCCGTCCCCATCCGGCAAAACTTTGAGCAGCGGTATGACATTCCACACTCTTTCCGTCTGAAAGTTTGTCACCTCAACACCAAAAATACTGTATGGCCAAGCCCCAATCCGCTTATTTCTTCCCAATGCCCCCCCGTCACTCGCTGTCTTGAACATGCCAAGCTTTCTGGTGAACCTCAACGCTCACTCAGGTAAGGTACGGTGCGTTGATTGTACCGGTATGTCACCCCATTCGCCCCTACTCGTGTGGATTCATTTCGGTCCAGTTGGAAAAGCACAGCCTACAGTGTGTGTGCGAGTACCGATATTATGCGAGTACCTTATGGGACATGTGTTTGTACCCTGCCGTGCCCTACCAGTACAGTATCATACAGTATATTACAGTACTCATACCGCACAACGCCACCACCGCCGCCATTACGATACCATGCATCGTGATCCAAACAAAAAAAAAAAGAAAGAAAGCGGGTGAGCAACCGAATCCCTTGATTTAGCCAGCGCAGCCTTGAAGTAAGATGCTGTCAAACCAAACGCACCGCACACGGTTGTCGGGGGGCTCATACTGGTAGGGTATATATATTGACCTTCTACCCTTCCGTTTTCCACTCTCCCCTCCCCCCCTTTTCCCCCTTAACCTTTTCCGGTTGTCCTGTCGTTTGCACTTGTCATTCGCTACACGATGAAGCCTCAATTCTATCTATTGGGAGCGGTGAGCTTGGGTCTAGGAGGAGGCGGGGGAGGAGTGCTTGCTGAGTCTCTGTCAATGCCGGGAATCACATCTCCACCACCGACTCCGACTAGCAGCAGCTCCAGCAGCCAGATTACTCTTGGGATGTGTGATGCTACGGAGGACTTTTGCGGGAGGAGCAAGACCGCCAGCGTCAGCGGGTGCCCAAGGAGTATTTGTGCGGATTATATCAATGAGTGTGGGAAGTGGTATGGGGGCTGTTTGTATGTTTGTTCCTTATCCCGCTCGCGGTGGGGAGGGGAATAATCAAGTATTAATTGTGTATTGTGATTAGTCTTGATCCGGCTTGTACGGGAGGGAGTATTTGGCCAACTTTCACCAAGCCACCATGTACTACTTCTTGCTCTAGGACTATCTGTGCGGATTACGTGAACGAGTGTGGAAAGCCCTATGGCGGTTGCTTGTGAGTTTCTCCGAGTTCCGATATACCCAGGGCTCTTGGGCTCATAATTCGATAGTCTTGATCCAGCGTGTACAGGTGGTACCGCATTCCCGACATTTACCAAACCTCCATGTCCGACGACAACCCCTGCCAGTACGACGTGTTCGAGATCGATTTGTGTGGATAATATCAATGAGTGTGGACAGATGTTTGGCGGCTGCTTGTAAGCTGCCCTTTTCTGATAGTCGCCGGTATATACTAACAGGATAGTCTTGACCCTGCGTGCACCGGCGGAACCCAATGGCCCACGTTCACCAAGCCACCATGTAACTCTACTACCACTACCACGACCAGTGCTTCGACGACATGTAAACGTGCCATCTGTGCTGACTATATCAATGAATGTGGGCAGATGTATGGGGGTTGTTTGTATGTTCTCACCCTCCTTTCTTCCTACTCGGTCTGTCCGCGGTTAACCGATTTATAGCCTAGATCCGGTTTGCACGGGTGGAACAGCCTGGCCAACATTTAGCAAGCCTCCTTGCCCAACGACCAAATGTAGTCACTCGATCTGCTACGACGGGATCGACAAGTGTGGGCAGTTTTATGGTGGTTGCACGTATGTTTTCCCTCCTCTAATGTTGAGCATAGCTTACATAGCGTTACAGGCTTGCACCAGAATGTGGAGGTCCTAAAACCCCTACCTTTTCGAGGCCGCCGTGCCCACCAACAACTGTCACAACATCTACTACAACGGCACCATCGACATGCACTGTTTCTCTGTGTGTTGATGGAATAGACGCTTGCGGCCAAGGCTGGGGTGGTTGTTTGTATGTTTTTCCATAACTAAAATTGAACATTGCTAACTCCGAACAGCCTGGCACCAGAATGTGGAGGAAAGGAACCTTCGTGGACCAAACCACCATGCACAAAGACAACTGTTACCCCGACTGTGACCAAATACACAACTATTTGCCCCCCCGGACAAGCTGTGACTAAGTTTGTGACGAGAACTTTAACATATACCTACGGCCCTTTGAAATCATATTATGCCGACCCGACAGTTCTCTCATCCTACGATTCCGTCACATATTATGGCCCGGGGCCAACTTCTGCCCCCAGTTCAATCAATCCGTACGTCCCGAGTGGCACGCATAACTCATCCCCATATGTCCCATCTGGCACTAGCCGTTGCATAGCTGCATCATCGGCCGGCTTAGATACCACTCTAGATGTTTGCACCCCCCGCCCCCCAAAGGTACAACCCACCATATCCCGCTAACATGAACAGTTTGACGACCTCCACGGTGGAATCTCGTTCACACCACGACCACCTTATAAAGGCTTTAATTTCTCCAGATCCATCAATCCCGCAGCGCCGCTCACCATTGGCAAAGCCAGGGATAGCCAGTTCTCAATGGAGGGTACAATAACCGGAATCGGCAGTTATCCTGCTTGGCTGTTGGTCCACAGAGCCACCAGGCAGATGAATTACCCGCCGAGTTTAGACATCATCGCCATGAGTCAGGATGGTGTACGTTTTTGTCCTGTTGCAAGTTGAGTGCAGTGCTAATGAGAACAGGACCCGAGAAATTGCGCGTTTGATTTAAAGTCCTTTTATGTCAAGCCCACGTATATTTGGTCCGATGACTCGAGGATTAACATTACGGCGTGAGTGTTTACTGGTCCGAGGTTGTACGGTTGATGGCTAACGGACGGATCAGATTCGACCTTGATGGAAGATTTATTAAAACAGAAACTAGGAATGCTGCCGGAGGGTTGCTTTTTGATGTCAAAGGGCAAGGGTTCGAGGGAATTGGCTTGCTCACAATTCTGGACCTGTCGAACGAAGGTTTCTTCATTGATGATATCAAAGTCACAAGTTAGTACATTTTTTTGTTTTCTCCCTGTTGTATTATATTTTTCGCGCAACAGCTAACTAAGCCCATCAGGCCGTTGCTGTGCCTTCCCTGAACGGCCTGCAACATGTCCTAGGGAAGAATATGGCAAATGGACAGTTTCCACCCAAGACGTAACCCCGCCCTGCCTCCTTCTCTCCCTGCCTTACTAACCCTCTACAGTTTGAAAAGGTCACAGGCAATCATAGCCTCCCCTTCGAAGTCAGCCCTTGGGTTCCCTATGGAAACCTCCTGTTCCGCACTCACTTCGACACACCCACCCTATCAAGAATTTCCGACCCAGTCCTAGGCACCAGCACAATGCTACATACAACCGCAGACGTCCTGAATATAACCCTCTCCACAAAATGCGATTTTCGGCTTGGCGCCCTCTCTATAGCACCCGACGAGCCAGCCGCTGGAGGCAACATAATCATTGAGGGATATGATTTCCACAGCGAACTTGCTTGGACACATACTGAGGCGGTGTCTGCGGCGGGCGGGAAGAGGATAGATGCGATACCAAGTGGATACCCCGCGGTTTGGGGGTTACGGATTAAGATTGTTGTTCAAGAGGCGAATAGGACGAGGTTGATGGGATTTGCGATTGATGATATAGTGGTGATATCGGGGCAAGTTGGATGAGTTGTGATTGGAAATTAAGGGGAGAGGATGACGGGTATGAAGGCTATGTTTCTAAAATTAATGAATGTCGGATTGTTACGGATTTGATTTTTGCTCGATGAGTGAAGAGTGATCCATGAGATGGAGGCGAGTGATGATAGATGATCCAACTGTAGAGAACTGTAAGATTGAACATATCCGGCAGAATGCTGCATTTAAGAGTGCCATGCCCATTTGCACATTTTGGACAATAACATAGTGCAGTGGCACACGCAAATAGACTCGCGGTTGCCAAAGAAGACACCCGCCAAATCCACACTTTGACCCTATCTCCAAAGGAAGTATGATAGAATGGGAGAACAGGGCATCTACAGCGCGTGACCGCGCCTAAAGGGACAATCAATCGATCAATCAATCGTCCCCAGAGCACCCAACAGCCATCAGGAGAAAATACCGTATCATATTCCACACACTTCCTTTCCCCCTATCTGTGACCCTTTGCTGGTGATTCTTAGGGTGTGGTGGTCCAAGTTGGTCTAGTTATCCTGAGTTTTAAATCGATTGACATTCTCTTCTATGCTAACTCTTCAGTGTGAACTGTCGCTTCTAGTGGATTACGTGTGTGTGTGTGTAGGGGGGGGGGTATTAAAAATTCGATACTGCTCGAACAGATAGCGATGATTTTAAGATTAAGAATGCAGCTTACTGTATGTTGTGTCGCGCAACTGCTCACTCCTCTCTACTCGTAAAAGGTCTAGTTCTATCACATCCAGATCCCGACTCCGGCTTCAGGCCTCACATGCCCGGCAAATAGCGAACGCACGATGCACCGGGCAGAACCTCCACCTCATGACCCACGCCCCGGGCCGGCGCAGAAATGTCCATATCTCCCCACTCACCGCTCACCCCCCTACCGGCCACCGCGGCGATGTGCGGCGGGGGTATCTGGTCGCCTATGTGGTAAGAGTCGATGCCGAAGCGGTCTTTACGCAGCAGTTCGCCAATGGAGAGGTGGTCCATGTGACGGGCTACAAGGCGCAAGGAGTCCGTCCGGCATAGTCTTTGCGATCGAGGAGGGAGGGAGGCTGGACGGCAGGCGTAGTGCTTCAGTAGACGCGGGCGATGACCGAGTTGCCGGCTTCCACGGCTAGGTATAGCTGGGTGCGGCCCCCATCGTCGATGGGCAGGTCGTTGATCTCCGACTCGGCAAAAAGGCAGAGCACGATGTTGTAGAGGGAGCGAAAATGTTGCAAGGTGCAGGGCCGTCGTGCCGTCCACCTCCTCCGGCTTTTGAACAGGTGTGACCTTGAGAACCGGTTCCCCAAGTCTGTTAGGAGGGTTTCCACACTCACGTGGTTACCGCCGGTTACCGCTACGTGCGGGGCCATCCACGCGCGGGCCCTCGAGCAGTAAGTGGATGACGGCTGGGTCGGTAGACACAGCTGCCGCGACGTAGAGGTTGATGTCATTGTCTCGCCTTGCGAGGAGGGTTTCGGGGAAGGGAATCGCTGCATTCCTACCCTCATGCAGGGTTGTGCTATTTTCTCGGTCGGCGCCCTGCAAGTTTAGGTGGTCGGTTGCTATGAGCTTGGTGAACATATCGAGGCGATTGGCGAGTATGAGGACTGAGAGTCGCTGGATACCTTCGCGACTATTTGGGGGACTGTGAGCATTATTTTTGGTCGATTGGGGTGTTGCATTGTCAGGTGCGGAGGTTGATTGGGGAGGTAAATAATAACAGGGTAACCACTCAGAAGTAAAGGGCTTCACCGCACAATACATGATTCCTCATCCTAGCCAAAAATCTCAACCAACGATAACACTTACAGATCAACTAAATCCCAAACTCACTCAACCAAATCATCCCTCTCCACAGCAAAAAATAATATACGGTACAGTGCCTCAAGCATCGCATACCTCCTCTCATTATCCAAGTGCTGCACCCCAGCCACTCCAACAAAAGCTCCGGCAATTCCTACCTCCTAGCAACGGCAGAGTGGGAGGTAACCGTATTCCCCGGACCATCCGACACATCAGCACGCACCCCTTACCCCAGCAGCAGCAACATGACCGTAGCTTTAGGCTCGGTGGCCATGGCATCACAGGTGATCCCGTCGCAGCCACTTGAGCGCTCCGCTATCTCCAGGATCCCTCGGGAGAGGAGTTCCTTAATGTGAGACTTGTCGAGATTTCTGGCGGCAGCGCAGAACGCCCGACGGGCTACGAGCAGGAGGCGGATGCGGAATATGCTGTCTGATAGGGAGGGGGCGGCGTGCGAGAGAGGCGGGTTCGCAGTTGGGTGGCTGTGTCCTTGGAATTGAGGTGAGTAACGACCTCGAAGGAGTCCTGTGGGAAGTGTCAATTATTTTTGATTTATTACTCCTCCCTTCTCCAGGGGAGGGGGGCAGCATTTGTAATGTTCATGTTTCTGAGAATAGTTGGTCTAAGATGAGAGGCTCTGAGGATGCGGTAGTTATTTCTTAAGTGGTGTACGGTATTGCCAGGTCGACGAGACCGTATGATAATACAGGTATGATATTATGATATATTGGGCTAGATTAGGTAAGCTGTCTTGGCACCATAAACCCTCATCACATACGATAAATTTATCATAGCTCCTATGGATATGTTATGATAACTCAACCTTGAATTAAGAACGTCAAGCCCTTTCTCCTCCAGTGAGAATACCGTTAGTCTTTATATTACAAGGCGCCCTACAAAACAGACAAGAAAAAGCGCACAGTGGATTTTCGATGCGCCAAGTATTACCAGAACAAGAAATGTAGTATCACACCTGTACCAAGGGGGAAAAGAACAATAAGGCCAATCCAGCGTACTAATCCAACCCAGGAATTGCCGGAACTTGGTCCTATGGGCGCATGTTCCCGTGGCTTCAGTATCAAGTTTACTGTTGAGAAATGATCCTCGAGTTAACATACGAGAATGAAGTCTGGGCTTCCCACTCACTATCCGTGGATATCAGGAGGGACGTGGAGGTTAGAATTCCGCGTAATTGCTCGCGTCGTCAAGATGGGGTACATTTATATACCGTTCATGTCTCTGTGAGCTAGGTAGTGAGCTCAACCAACAGTCTTCCTATGCAAGAAAACACCTTCGATTCTGAACACTTACCAATGAAAAGAAGCGCGGGTTTACCCCCCCTCCCATTCCACTGAATGAGAAACCGCACTGAAAACTCGGATACCAGACCTTATACACTATTTGAGGAGGACAGACCATCGTATACCCCAGGTGTGATAACAAATTGCTTCTCCAACATATATCACTATTTTCCTTAAGAAGTCTTCACACTCTTTTACCATCGGTTGTTCCCGTGCACATCCCGAAGCCAACTATCCCCGCCGCCTGTTCGCATGCTCGGCCGAAGATGACGGGATTTTTGGCAATGAAGCTATTTCTCCAAGATGTATTTGTTCTCGATAGCTCCAAGGCACCTGTGTGGATAAAGCTGTAGTCTTCTTGGATTTCTTCAGCACTCCCAAGCACCGGTATCAACTATTATCTTTACCTGTATCTGTTAGCAGCTCCTCCCCCGACCCTTCTTTCCTTCCTGACTTAATCTAGTGCGCCCATCAGCAGTTAGCATCCCTTGGGCCCCCAGAGTCCAATTGACTGACCTGGAGGCTTCGATAGAATGGTGCAATATCCGCAGCAGCATCGTTATTACACATCGCTCAGCTATAGCACAGCTAGTAGTACTGAAAGAAGCATCGTAGGAAAATAGTCAAGGTCTATCCCCGGCGGACAGCGATGCGTGAACAGACAGAAAAAACATTTCCCGAGCGCCAGCTGAACCGAGCAACACCCGGTACGCCATCCGCAATAATTTACTGTTCCTAAATACCACCGCTTGCCTTCCGTCCACCTTCCCCCTCCCCAACTGAGCGTCGCTCCTATAGCACATCCCTTGACAATACGGTACACGCCTACCGGTGCCCCAACAACAAAAACAAAGTAAGTGGCCAACATCCCCCCCTCCCCGGTAGAGTCAACTTGAATATTATCATGTCCGACAGCCCCGTGACACGGGCGTGGCGCGGACCTCATCCCGCCGGGCTATGTTC